TTGGAATAACTGGTATATTAGGCAACACACCTTTAGCAAAAATGGGTAGGTACAAATGTCTTCAATGCAAGACGAGCCTTGCAAAAATGGTCCTATTAATCCTAGCAAAGTCCTCGTTGTCTATAGGAATACGAATCTAATTAAAGAGATATGAATCTAAGGAAAGTAATATGCTGTGCGTCCAGCCAAAATGGCTATCTAAAGAACTTTTAACTGAGTTAAGATTAAAAAAGGATGTGTACAAAAAATGGAAAAGGGGGGAAACCACCAAAGAGGAATTCAAACAAATAGCCAGCACGTGTAGACACAAAGTCAGAAAAGCTAAAGCACAGAATGAACTCAGGCTTGCTAGAGAGGTTAAAAGCAACAAAAAGGCTTTTATGGGTATGTTCGTAGCAAAAGGAAGAACAAAGAAACAGTGGGGTCACTCAGAGGAGAAGATGGTGAAATGCAAACAGGGGACACAGAAAGGGCTGAACTCCTCAATGCCTTCTTTGCCTCAGTCTTCTCCAATAAAGAAAACAATGCCCGACCTGAAGAATTTGGAGAAAATGATTCAGCAGAGGAAACACAGCCCAGAATAACTAAGGAGATAGTACAAGAATACTTGGCTAGTTTAGATGCATTCAAGTCTCCAGGGCCAGATGAACTGCATCCAAGAGTATTAAAAGAACTGGCAGATGTGATCTCAGAACCACTGGCAGTCATCTTTGAGAATTCCTGGACAACAGGCGAAGTCCCGGCAGACTGGAGGAGGGCAAATGTTGTCCCTATTTTCAAAAAGGGGAAAAGAGAGGACCCAAATAATTACCGCCCAGTCAGTCTGACATCAATACCAGGGAAGATTCTGGAGCAGATCATTAAGCAAACAGTCTGTGAGCACCTAGAAAGGAATGCTATGATCACCAATAGTCAGCATGGATTTCTGAAAAATAAGTCAAGTCAGACTAACCTGATCTCGTTTTTTGACAGAATTACAAGTCTGGTAGATGAAGGGAACACAGTGGATGTAGCCTACCTTGATTTCAGCAAGGCATTTGACAAGGTGCCCCATGATATTCTTGTAAAGAAGCTGGTAAAATGCGGTCTTGACTATGCTACCACTCAGTAGATTTGTAACTGGCAGACTGACCGAACCCAAAGGGTGCTCATCAATGGTTCCTCTTCATCCTGGAGAAGAGTGACTAGTGGGGTGCCACATGGTTCTGTCTTGGGCCCGGTCTTATTCAACATCTTTATCCACGACTTGGATGATGGACTCAAGGGCTTCCTGATCAAATTTGCAGATGACACCAAACTGGGAGGGGTGGCTAACACCCCAGAGGACAGGATCACACTTCAAAACGACCTTGACAGATTAGAGAACTGGGCCAAAACAAACAAGATGAATTTTAACAGGGAGAAATGTAAAGTATTGCACTTGGGCAAAAAAATGAGAGGCACAAATACAAGATGGGTGACACCTGGCTTGAGAGCAGTACATGTGAAAAGGATCTAGGAGTCTTGGTTGACCACAAACTTGACATGAGCCAACAGTGTGACGCGGCAGCTAAAAAAGCCAATGCAATTCTGGGCTGCATCAATAGGAGTATAGCATCTAGATCAAGGGAAGTAATAGTGCCACTGTATTCTGCTCTGGTCAGACCTCACCTGGAGTACTCTGTCCAGTTCTGGGCACCACAGTTCAAGAAGGACACTGACAAACTGGAATGTGTCCAGAGGAGGGCAACCAAAATGGTCAAAGGCCTGGAAACGATGCCTTATGAGGAACGGCTAAGGGAGCTGGGCATGTTTAGCCTGGAGAAGAGGAGGTTAAGGGGTGATATAATAGCCATGTTCAAATATATAAAAGGATGTCACATAGAGGAGGGAGAAAGGTTGTTTTCTGCTGCTCCAGAGAAGCGGACACGGAGCAATGGATCCAAACTACAAGAAAGAAGATTCCACCTAAACATTAGGAAGAACTTCCTGACAGTAAGAGCTGTTCGACAGTGGAATTTGTTGCCAAGGAGTGTGGTGGAGTCTCCTTCTTTGGAGGTCTTTAAGCAGAGGCTTGACAACCATATGTCAGGAGTGCTCTGATGGTGTTTCCTGCTTGGCAGGGGGTTGGACTCGATGGCCCTTGTGGTCTCTTCCAACTCTATGATTCTATGATTCTATGAAAATGATATCCAGGCTAAGGGGGAAGCAATGGAAATAGAAAACAGACCCCCATCGTTGTAATCTAAGGAATGGAGAGGCAAAATGGAAGCAGTCATGAACCATGTAAATAGAACAATAAGGTGATTTATAAAATGGGACATTTTGAAAAGGAAGCAGCATGGGGAAGGATACCAAGGAGGAGAATGCAAAGGCACAATGGATTTATAGGCCATAAATCATCTCCAGCTCTAAAGGGTGGAAGGCATACAGATGATGTGGCTCACCCCCAATTTGGGCTGGGGGCCTGATTTGGGATCCAAGCCAACATTTCTGCCTCCACCCCTAAGCCATAAATTTTGGCAGCTGTTGCAAAAGGTGGGAGGATTGAAGTATACACAGCTGTGGAATGGGTGGAGCTGAGCACCCAGATAAGGATACACAGCCTTGGTCATCAGATTGATCCTATCTCCTCCTATCACATCCCTTATTTTGCAAGCTATTTCTGCTTTGGGCCTGCCTCTTTGTACACAGGCTCTTTAATTGGTTGCAACAGATATACACCATATATTTCAACCAGAGGGGTGAAATCTAATTATAAATGATTCTGAAAGGTGGTCACATGATAAGGGTTTGTGGGATGACTTGCCCCTTCTTGACATTGACAATAGTACTCCTGCTTTTATTTTGTTTTGAACAATCAGCTAGGCTGCAAATAAATGTGGTCATACCCTTTTCAGTTCAGGAGAGTGGGTCTGGTTTCCTGCTGAGGGCAGCACCGATTTACGAGTGAGCCGTTTGTTCTTCCAAAATAAAATGTGGTGTGGATTATTAGGCACCACGGCCAAAACAGCCATCAGGATATAATCAGCAAGCCGAAGTTTGGCAGCCAAGACTAGCACACACTGTGTAACTCCAAGAAAATCTTTTCAGCTGGCTAAAGGGGGATTGCAGCTTCTTAATGATGGTGAGCGATGGGATCTGCTTGCAGTTCTTGGTATCTGCTCAGGCTCCTTGCTGGTTACGGATGCTCTTTGGTTGTTATTCCTGGTGGCGGTGACACTCTTGGGGCTATTCAGCTAGTTCACAGATGCCCATTTATTAAGCCTGCGTGTAGCAACTGAAATATTTCTAAATAGTTTCCTTTTGGAAAATTTCTGGGTGGTCTTTTGACCATTCAGGAGCCTGAAGAGAGCTCGTTTGTCTCTTCCAGGGAGGAGAAAAAGGGAATCATGGAGCAGGACCACTCATAGGAACATAAGACACTGGCTTATGCTAAATCAGACCTGTTAAGTTGTGGGTGAACATATCAGACGACACAGAGATTCTTCAAACAGCTCTTGTTTATTCACAGGCCAGAACAGAACTGAACTGAAGGGTTCAGCCAGCCTGATTATATAGAGCTCCACTAGAACGCAACAGTAACCATTTTCTGTAACTATCCAATCACTGAACGTCACTTTCGATCCCTTATTTGCCTATGTGGACCTGAACTATCTACAGTATCCCCCTGCAGGCCCAGGGTGAGAACTTCAGTACATAACAAGACCTTTGCTCTGTTTGGCTCAGTATTGCTGACACCGACAGGCAGAGGCACTGCAGGGTTTCAGATTGGAGATGTTTCCACTCCTATCTGGAGATGCTGGGAACCAAACCTGGGGCCTTCTGCATGCAAAATGGATACTCTGCCATGGAATCGCTGGGTCCCAGAGTTGATAAAGGCTGCTTATAATCCCCTTGGAGTTGGGGACAGAGGAATATGATCTACCACTGAAAGCAACTTCCAAATGTTTATAGATGGGGAGGAAGTTGGCTTTTGTGTGATCTTCATTATAACAGTGAACACACATGTCTGGCCCTCCTAGGAGGATCTATTGTCAGAATGCTGTCAGTGGCTCCCAGTTGGTTGCCCAGAAAAGTATAAAGACAAGTTTCTTACAGTCCTTTTTTATTTCAATCTTTATAGAACACAGCCTCTTGGATCATGGTGTTGTCCCAAATAAATCTCCACCTCCCGTCTCTCCCACTTCCTCATTCGTCACTTCTACCGGTGCTGCTACGTGCCCTCTGTCTTTGAGCTCTTTGCACTCCTACTTTTAAGGCTCGCCGGGTTCTGGGAGATGGAGGGTCTGGAATGCTTTCTAATGATAACGTGTCAGCCAGGTGTTGTTCTGGCTCTCCCATGGTTTCCCAACTTTCCCTCTCATCTGACCCTGAGCTGCAACCTCCCTCAAACCCCTGTTGTAAATCTATACTGTCTTCCTCTTCCTCCTCCCTGGAAGGGTCAGGATGGGAAGGCGGTCTCCACCATTCCTCCTCTGCTCAGTCGCTGACAACTATTAAGAGTGGCTCACCTTAGGCAGTAGAAATCTCCCTCTGTGTGTAGGACCATTGGCTACTGGCCATGATGGCTATGTTCTACTTCCATGGTTAGAGGCAGTAATGCTTCTGAATTCTGGTTGCTGGAAACGGCAGGAGGGGAGAGCGCTGTTGCACTTAGGTTCCCCTTGAGGATTTCCTGCAGGTATCTGGCTGGCTGGCTGGCTGTAAAGAACAGGGGAACAGGGTGTGGGACTAGATGGGGCATTGGCCTGATTCAGCAAGTTCTTCTTACGTTAATGTTCTGTAGCAGTGCCAACCAGAGTTCAGTTTAAGGTTCTGCCACCAGATCACCATTCTTCAAGGGATAAACCTGGGAGCTCAGAGTGGGAGAGGGAATTGTCCTCAGTGCTCAGGACCAGTCCTCAGACATACTGATAGAAAAAAAAGTACTTCTGCAAGAGGAGCCCATTGTGACAAAACGTCTCCAGCCATAGGAGATCACACAGCCCTCCTCTGACGCCATGTACAGCTCAGAAGACCTAGTACAACCATCGTCTCCTTTGTGCCATTGGGATCAATGCCTGCTGAAGAAGATGGAGCCCCTTTCAATGAAGATGCTTCTGAAGGGAGGGTTTCGGAAGGCAGGGCTAGTAACAGAGAGAGCTGCTGCTTCCATTTCTGCCTCTGTCTGAGGCTGACTGCTGCTCAAACAATACCTGTGCTCTCTTCATATCGGATCTCCAGGCAGAGCCCTCTACAGAGCTGTCCAAGGTGCTGTGCCTAATAATAATAATAATAATAATAATAATAATTTATTATTTAAACCCTGCCCATCTGGCTGGGTTTCCCCAGGCCACTCTGGGGGGTTTCCAACAAAATATTAAAATACAATTCCTCAAATATTAAAAACTTCCCTAAACTGGGCTGCCTTCAGATATCTTCTAAAAGTCAGATACCGTATTTTTCGCCCTATAGGACGCACTTTTCCCCCTCCAAAAATGAAGGGGAAATGTGTGTGCGTCCTATGGGGCGAATACAGGCTTTCGCTGAAGAACACAAGAACATTTGAAGGTGTTCATATATAGATCTCTATGTCTCAGAGGCCTTGGCTGAACCTCTTGCATTTGGAGACTGCCACGATGAAGGCAGCCCAGATCTGGAATCCAGAAATATTGAGCAGAATTGAGCAAAGGGCTGTCCATGGCTGACACAAGAAAGGCAATTCCCAAAATGCACTTGCCTTACCTGCATCTTTTGACCTCATCTGCTCTACCAGTTGCCACTTCCCTCTTCCCTTCAAGACTGTAAACCCTCTAAAGTCTAGTGAGAACTGGTATCACCATCTTCATTGTATTATCAACCCAAGAACATAGGAAAAACTTTGGTAGATCACATCAATGGTCTTTCTAGTCAAGGGATGGGAAACCTCAGGCCCAGGGGCCTAATGTGCCCAGGCCTCACTATCTGGCCCTCAGAACGTGCCCCAGGCCACAAGCCTCACCAGCCAGTCATATCCTCGAGTGTTTTTGCCATTTCATGATGCCCTTCTCAGGCCAAGTAACGTGTACAAAAATGCATCTACTGGACTGGGGTGAAGTGTGCATTAACAACCTACAGTTCACAGGATTTTTTCTGGGTTGTGGGTGCTTTAATGTTTTAAATATATGCTGTGTACTCAGCCAGAGTCCCCAGCCGAAAGTCCCTTAGTCTAGTTGTTGCATTCCTAACTCACTGCAAGGAGGTGGGACCCATCTAAGTCAGGTCCGGGCCTGAGTGTTTGCTTTACTGACTGAGCACAGATCTAAGTTCCCATATTCCACTACCCCCCTCCCCACATCCCTGTTATAAGTTGTGTTGAGGGTTGCCAAGAATCCAGCAGGCCAGCGATTATATAAAAAAAGCAACCCTCTGCAGGCAAGTTTCTGTGCAATCGTTCATCCTCGCTGGCTTCTTCTGATATATTCCACTGCTCCTGCCCCCTCCCAACCCCAATTCTGCCTGAGGCCCAGTCTAACTTGATATCTGACTCTTCTCCCCCTCCCCAACTCATCCCCTAAATAACACCCAGTCCCCGCACCCCTCCATCTCTATCACAATCCCAAGGACTTTGCTTCACTGTGCCTGCGAGGGCTCTGGAATCCAGCCAGGAGACAATCTGTTCTTCATTACATTCACCACGCGGCTTGGAGGCTCGTGGCCCCCTTGCTCCTCCTGCTCCTGCTGATGTGGCGATTTGGACCCGGAGGAGCGCAAAAGCTCTTCATCACTGTTCCGCCGGCCTTGGTGCCAACGCTCCTGTTGAGGGATTGATAAAACACAAGGCCGGGGCAGGAAAGCAGCTTCTGCCAGGTTAACCTCCTCCGCTCCCCATCCTCCCCTCGGCCAACAGCCAGGAATAGCAGCAAGATTTGCAATAATAATATTTTCCTCTTTCAGTCATTTCCCCCCTCCAAAGTCCTTTATGAAACAGAAAACTGTATTCAACCCTCTGTGTGCGTTGTCAGTTCTCTGCCTCAGTTTCCCAAGAGAGGGCTACCTCTGTTCTTCCTTCCTTCCACCTGCCCCATCCAGAGTCTTCTCATCTTCATCCTAGACTAAGAACATAAGGAGAGCCTGCTGGATCAGGCCAATGGCCCATCTAGTCCAGCATCCTTACAGTGGCCAACCAGTTGCCTGTGGGAAACTCACAAGCACTCTCTCCCACTGTGGTTTCTGGGAACTGGTATTCATCAGCATTACTGCCTCTGACAGTGGAGGCAGAACCGAGCCATCTTAGCTAGCAGCAGTTGATAGCCTTCTCCTCCATGAATTTGTCCAATCCTCTTTTAAAGCTATCCAAGTTGGTGGCCCCCCATTGCCTCATGTGGGAGAGAGTTCCATAGTTTAACTATGTGTTGCATGAAGAAGCACTTTCTTTCATCTGCCCTGAAACTTCCAGTATTCAGCTTCATGGGATGTCCACAAGCTTCTGGTGTTATGAGAGAGGTAGAAAAACTTTTCCCTGTCAAGGAAAACCCTAAACTATTATATCAGTCGGCTGTCAACCGAAACCCTAAACCATACAACTTTTTCTGATGGGTTGAGCCCCAGACGGGTCCTTGCAAGACAAGCTGGCCTTTTAACAGCCTCCTTTATGGGATGCAGCTGTGCATTTTAGGGTCGGTTTCACAAGTTCCCACAAAGGTTTTACAATGAGCTCTGGTGCCTCTTGCTTCATCTCTTCCCCACTCCCCACATCTTGCCTGGATGGGGGAGATGGGGGGCCTGCAAAGGGAAGGTCAGGAGGCGTTCTTCAAATGGCTGAATGAATTCTGCTCCTGGGTTTTAACCAATGAGCCGATTGCATTTAGATAACTGTACTCATGGAACAGCTCATAATGGCGGTGCTTGAATGTCTGTGCCTAAAGTGGGCTGGGATGTTCTCCTGCTGCTTTTCAATATGACTTCTTTTCAGACAGATGTAACTGACGGTGGATCTACACACAGGGGGAAAAACCACTATGAATAAGCCAGAAATTAAATCGTTATAACAACAAAAATCTCACTATGGAAAATTGCAAATAATTTTTTATTTTATTTTTGCTCTCCAGCACCATCTGATGTTGCATGTTTATAACACATTCAAAACGCTGTTTTTTGACTAATGTAGCTGAGTCCTGAGTCTGCTCTAATCATCTCTTTGCATCCAGCTTTGAAATAATCTCAAGTTTCTTCCAACCATCTCACTTCCTTGGTATTTCCCCATTTTGGCTTTGCTTTACGAGCACCCAAAATTAGTAGCAGCAGAATCTGCAGATGAGCTGGCTGGGAAAGCTTGGCTGCAGCAGTTCATGCATTGGTTATTTCAAAACTGGATCACTGCAAGGCGCTTCCATGGAAGCTGCAGTTACTGCAGAATGATGGGAGCGAGGCCTTGTCAGCATACAACACCTGCGCTCAGAGATCTGCACTGGTTGCCCTTTTGCAGGTGGGCCAAGTTCAATGGGCTGCTATTAGTGCACAAAGCCCTTGACAACTTGGGACCACTTTACCTGTCGGATTGCCTTACTTTCTCCACATATGACCTCTCGACCACCTCAACTGGCAAAACTGGCAGCATTACAGGTGCTGGGAAAAGTCAGGACAGAAGGAAAGGTCATAGCTCAGTGGCAGAACACCTGCTTTGCCTGCAGAAGGTTCCAGGTTCAATCCCTGGCATCTGCAGGTGGGGCTGGGAATCCTCCCTGTCTGAAAGCCCAGAGAGCCACTCCCAGTCAGTGTAGACAACACTGGGCTAGAAGGACCAATGGTCTGACTCAGAGTAAGGCAGTTTCATAACTGGGTGGCGTATATAGTACAGTGATACTTCGGGTTAAGTACGTAATTCATTGCGGAGGTCCGTTCTTAACCTGAAACTGTTCTTAACCTGAAGCACCACTTTAGCTAATGGGGCCTCCCACCACCGCTGCACGATTTCTGTTCTCATCCTGAAGCAAAGTTCTTAACCTGAGGTACTATTTCTGGGTTAGCGGAGTCTGTAACCTGAAGCATATGTAACCTGAAGCGTATGTAACCCAAGGTACCACTGTAATACTTTGAGGCCAAACCTCAGCAGAGAAAGCAGGTTTTCAGATCAACCTCTGGGATCGAGCCCCTTGTGGATTCAGGCCTGCTTCACCCTCCCTCCTCCGTCTCTCCCTTTCGAAAGCTCCCAGCCCTGCCACACAGTCACATGCATGCTGGCTGGCGCTCCAGCTCATGGGACAAAGTACAGGAGTTTCTCATTAACCAGGAATGAGAAGGCTGTCTTAATCCAGCTGCAGAGGCTGGGGGGGGGGGAGAGAGAGAGAGAGAACAGGAAGGGGGTTTGGAGCAAAGAGGATGATTCGGTATGAAGCAGCTGTTTGGGGAGGCACCTCAGAGGTAAAGCCTGGCTCATTTCTGAGTTTGGGGGCTTTGCTAAGAGAAGCTATTGGCCTTGATTGTATTCCCAGAGCTGGGGGTGGGTGGGCGGGGTTTGCAGAGTTTGCATCAATCTATGTGCTTTATCTAGGGATGGGCGGCTCCAACAATGTCCTCTCTCTCTTTCTTTTCCAATTGTAAGTTCAGTTTTCCACATCTCCACATCAGTCGGTGCTTTTTAAAAAAAGGCCTTCTGAGTGCTTTAGTGTGAATTTCTCCCAATACCCACACTTTTGTACACAATTGTGCCTAATCTAACCATCTTTGCAGAGCAAATTTTCCCCAATATAATACAATGTTACATTGCGGTGCACATTATTCTCACTAATGAATGTGGTTTTATACACACTCTAGTATTTTTGGACTTGCAATGCAAACTTGGGAGAAGGGCAGATTTTGAAGGATGACGGCCCTTTCCTTCTCAATATGGTTTCAGAAAGTGGAATTATGTAAATTCGCCTTTAAATTGGAACTGAAATACAATTACTGTACCAGAGTGGCATAACGGTAAATCTCTTCTCCTATAGAATGCTGGGAATTGTGAAGGGGTCTCCTTATAACTCTCATTACACATCTTTAGGCACCAGGCAAAAACATTCCTTTTTAACCAAGCCTTTGGTTGATCCGATTGACATCCTATGCCCTTTTAAAATGTGGCTCTTTTTTTTTTGGGGGGGGGTGTTTGTTATTGGGTTGTTGTTTTTATTTTGATTATATATATTGTGTTTTTTATGTTGATCTTTTCTGTGAACCACCCTGAGACCTCTGGGTGTATGAATTCAAATAATAATAATAATAATAATAATAATAATAATAATAATAATAGGATTTCCACGAGATCTAATGCTATGAGGGAAAAATATTTTGTTGGCAAGAACAATTTGACAATAAAACCCACTATTTATAGGAACAATGGGCTCTTTTTCCTCAATGGGGGCATTAGGCAAAGGCTACAGATGTTCCTGCATTGGATTTCCCACACCTGTGGTCTCAGAAGCCCTCTCCTCTAGCTTGTGATCCAGCAGTCAGGTGCCAAGTCTCCATTTCCCCCTCCTCAAGCCAGTGGCAATTGTGCACCTAGCCCTTTCCTTCCAAGCAATGGATGCCCTGAATAACCAAGGTGGAATCTACACACATATTAAAAAAAAAAGTTCTGAAACTGTTTTTAAAAACACATTGAATTTTCCATAAGGCTCACCATCACCACCTAGTGTCATATTGTATATTGCACTTGAAACACACTTAAAACGTTTTCGTTGCAGCTGTATAGCTGAGTCTCAAGTGAGGCCAGCTTTTTGACCCAAAGAGAAATATGTCTTAGAAGGGGGAGGGGGAAGTCTGCCAGAACTGGAGGCTCATAATCTCTCCCAAGGAGATAACAAGGGGAGCTGAGTGTGCCAAGAAATTTCCCAGCATGCAAAGCCGCAGGGCCTCCTCCCCACCCACCTTCAGGTCTGGCTACAAAGAGGTTCCTCTGCCATGGAAATAAATGAGTATTGTGGCTGACCATCAAGTCACGCAAGCCTGGGATGGGAGTGGGAGCAATGGATGGGTTGGGATGAAGTAGCCCTTTATCCAAAGATTGCTTCCTCCGGAGGCGAGGGCAGGGCTGGCATTTTTGGAAAGGCTGCAGCAATCACAAATGCATGGGAGGCACTGACCCTGGTTGGAGGGAGCTTTGTAAACTCCTTGTGAATGTTTTGCAGCCTGCTCTGAGGTACAAAAGAGGGGAAATGAGATTTAAGTCACGGAAGTACATGTGCTGGGTGTTGAGTTTTGCTGTGGAGTAATTTTGGTGCAAATCCGATAGGCGTTAAGGAGAATGAAGTCTTGATGCTGCACTATAGACAAGATTAAGTACATGTGGGTAAACTAAGGCTCCATTCACACCATACATCTAAAGCACCATGAGGACACTTTAAACAGTCATGACTTCCCCTAAAGGATTCTGGGAACTGTAGTTTGTTAAAGGTGATAGGAGTTGTTGGGAGAGAATTCCTAGAGTTCCCTGTGAATACAGATTGATTGTTAAACTGCTCTGGGAATTGCAGCTTTGTCAAGGGAAGCCTGATGCAGAGGGTTGCAGGCGTGATTGGAGTCAGAAGAGAATTGGGGGGGGAGCTGTTCAAGCGCACAGGACACTTTCAGATGTTGGGGGCTGGAAAAACGAGAGGCTCTTTGGATCACATTCACACCAAACAGTTAAAGTGCCCTGATACCACTTTAAACTTTTGGTTTTCCCCAAAAAAGAATTCAGGGAGCTGTAGTCTATTAGGTAAATAGGTAAATGACCGCTGCACTGTTAAGTCTAGTCAAAGGCAAATATGGGGTTGGAGCGCTCATCTCGCTTTCAGGCTGAGGGAGCTGGTGCTTGTCCACAGACAGCTTTCTGGGTCATGTGGCCAGCAGGACTAAATTACTTCTGATGCAACGCAACACTGTGACGGAAACCAGAGTACATGGAAATGCCATTTATCTTCCTGCTGCAGTGGTACCTATTTATCTACTCACACTGGCATGCTTTCGATCTGCTAGGTTGGCAGGAGCTGGGACAGAGCAATGGAAGCTCATTATCGTTGCACGGATTTGAACTGTCAACCTTCTGGTCAGCAAGGCCAAGAGGCTCAGGGGTTTAGACCACAGCACCACCCGCATCCCTTGTAGTCTATGGAGGGTACTGAGAGTTGGTAAAGGTAAAGGTAAAGGTAAAGGTAAAGGTAAAGGTACCCCTGACCATCAGGTCCAGTCATGGCCGACTCTGGGGTTCTGGCGCTCATCTCGCTTTATTGGCCGAGGGAGCCAGCGTACTGCTTCTGGGTCATGTGGCCAGCATGACTAAGCTGCTTCTGGCAAACCAGAGCAGCGCACAGAAACACCGTTTACCTTCCCACCGGAGTGGTACCTATTTATCTACTTGCACTGTGAAGTGCTTTCGAACTGCTAGGTTGGCAGGAGCAGGGACCGAGCAATGGGAGCTCACCCCATTGTGGGGGTTCGAACTGGCGACCTTCTGATCAGCAAGTCCTAGGCTCTGTGGTTTAACCCACAGCGCCACCCTCTATTCTTCTCCCAAAGCTGCAGTTCCGAAATTCCCCTATGAAGAGGGATGGTCCTAACATTAAGCCACTGTACTTGCGACATGGCAGCTTAAAGCATCCTGAGTGCAAGGAAAGCCAAGTATTCAGCAGACCCAAGGAAGAGCTATCTTCCATTGCAGGTCGGACTTTGGGCAAACATCCGAAGCAGGGGAAACTTTCCTTTGCTGGGTGGTGAGCTTGGACAAAGTGTTGCCCTATCCTCCTCCCTCCCATTTCTTTTCCTTTCCTCCCCCCCACCCCAAATGTCTTGCTGAGGGGTGAAGGGCAGGTCAGGACAGACAAAGCCCCTGCCCCCATTGCCATGGTGACATTAATTCAAGCCGGGTTCAAAGGAAATTGTTCCAGTTAAAGCTAACAAGCCAGAGTTGGAGCCTGGCCTAGCAGGGGGAAAAAAGCTCTGTTTTGAGAAAAAATGGGACCAGCATTTTGTGCACGGAGGCGGAGAAGGGAAGAAAGGGAAGCACTTGTGTTTTTTGGGTGGTGGGAGCCTACATTCTTGCTCAAGAAGTTCAAAACAACCTGACCTCCCCAGTTCTCCAGCATTTTGGGACGGGGAGCCCCCTTTTGATAGGAAAAGCAAATAACTCCAGCCGATTGGCACCTCCAGTTTCTGTTTACCGTTGAGCAGATTCTAACAGGCCACTGTTACATTCAAAGCTCAGGTGCAAGAAGAAAATGGAAATGTACAGGGGTGGCGGCGGCTAGGAATGAGTAAACCTGTCAACTTTGGTTTGTCTCAGCTTCTCACTTTTTCAGTCTACTGCTTTCCACATTTCCACATAAGTTTGATGATTACTATTGCTATTAATATTTTGCAAAGTCTTCAGGAAAATCCATCTGGATTTTTGTGCAGTTTTCTCCTAATGTACACAATTTTTGTATGCAATTTTGGCTCACATAAACATTTTTTCCCCAAAGCAATTCCCCCTAGTTTAATGCATTTAGTATGTTTTCGCTAATGTATCTGCACATCTATGCGTTTTTGTACACATTGTTTGGTTGGAGAACCACACTGCAAAATTTAGAGAACCACAATTTTCAAAGGATGGTTACATTTTTTGATTCACACATTTTTTGGGAAGGTGGGATTTAGCTCAGTTTGCCTTTCCCCCACTCCTAATGATGACTGGCTGGAGCAGGGCAGTAGGATGAGCGCAGGAGAAGTTCCCAGGTTCAAACACCAGTAGCATCTCCAGGCAGGCGTAGGAGAAACCCCAGTCTGAAACCCCAGAGAGCCATTGCCAGTCATTGTAGACAATTCAGAGCCAGATGGGACATTGGTCTAACGCAAGGAAAGGCACCTTGCCGCTTTTCTGTCTTCCATGCTAACCCTCTGCTAGACTGGGCCTGCAGGGACAGAAAAGAGGCTTTCAGAACTGACGCCCACCAAGGGAAGCAGCATCTCCTTTTTGATGGCAGTTGCAGAGAAGTGAGACCATCCCAATAGGCACAGAACGCCTGCTGAATTTTGGTGAAGCTTATCATGCTGGACTCTTTGAGAAGCAATAGGCCGCACGCCAGCAGGTGGCGCTCAAGAATACAAAGTGTGCTTGCTTCCTCTCTGTCGCAACTCTTTCTACTGCCTTCTCCGGATTATAAATGTCCCAAATCTCTGCTCTGTGTTATCCCAGTAATCCTTACAAGAGCCCTGAAAAGTATTGTTATCCCTACACGGCTGGGGGCTCAAGCTGGGTGAAGCAAGATCTGGGAACTAGACATGTCCTTTCCATGGGCTGGGGAAAGATTGGGCAATGCAAACTGAATCTGCTTTTCCTTATCTAGTGTTAATGTAGCAATTGAGCTCTTAAGCAGCTTGCTCTAGCAGGTGAGCCCTTGCAAAACTCATCTTAATTTCCGGTTGCTTAAGAAAGATTTGTGGAGAAATACTTTGCAGGGCTGCCTTTTCCCGGGGGTGCAAGGGGTGCGGGGCACCCGGGCACTGAATTTTGGGGCACGCCAGGTGCCCGCCGCTGAAGCCGCCTAAGTTCTTATGAAATAATATATTATGTTATGAAATAATAAATATTTTTGATCAAGCTAGGAAAACAAAATACATATACAGTGGTACCTTGGGTTACATGCGCTTCAGGTTACATACGCTGTAACTCATAGCTGTCAACGTTCAGATTTGAAAATAAGGGATCAGCAGCCTCGAAAATAAGGGATCAGCAGCCTCGAAAATAAGGGATCAGCAGCCTCACCTGTCCTGGGGACAGTCTACGGGATATCTAACAATCCAGGATAGCAGCAGGAAGCAGCGGGAAACGGCACTGGAATAAGGGAATTTCCCACAAAAAAAGGGAAGGTTGACAGCTATGTTCAGGTTACAGACTCCGCTAACCCAGAAATAGTAACTCGGGTTAAGAACTTTGCTTCAGGATGAGAACAGAAATCGCGCGGCAGCAGTGGGAGGCCCCATTAGCTAAAGTGGTGCTTCAGGTTAAGAACAGTTTCAGGTTAAGAACGGACCTCTGGAACAAATTAAGTACGTAACCAGAGGTACCACTGTATACCTAGGTATTACTGAAATGTATACCTACTGTCTCACTAAAGGACTTTTGACTTTGTGCACTCATTTACCAAAGATGTGCCGCACCAGCGGTCGCACTTGTCATTCACAACGGCGGCGCTTGTCAGACTCAACGACAATGCTTGTCATTCACAACGGCGCCATGCACACGAAATTTCAGGGCGCTGGGCGGATCTTTGCACCCCGGTGGTGCATATGCTAAAGACAGCGCTGATACTTTGCGATATTTTTAGTAGACTTTACAGGAAGCACAAGGTAGCATCAGACTGGAGTGGGGAAAATATAGGTGGGTCTTTGGCCATCTTTCCTTTGGTTGCAGCTAGAATGGTATTCTGCTGAGCCACTCTGCTCCTCTGCTCCAGCCAGAATGCTTCAGGTGGAATGCTGCTCTAGCCAAGCTTGGAAAGATCTTCTCCCATATAAGGAATCAAAGGGAATCTCAAAAGTGCTTCAAAGCCTAGAGGCTAATGAAGAACTCCTGGGAAAAGAGCTGGCAACAGTTTCTGTAGCTCTCCGCAAGCACGCTTACCTCCACACACTTATTTCGCAGCATTTTAGACACCATGTTTGTTTAATCCCTGCAGGACTGTCATCCATTTGATGAGTGCTGTTCGCTGTCTCTGCTCTCTGATGTGAACATCTGAAGAGATGGATTCTTCAACAGTTTTTAAACCACTCCGCTCCTGTTTCCAGACTTGTTCCCAAGGCACAAGAGCATGTATAGAGAGCAAGGAGCTGCAGGGAGGCATGTCACCACCCAACCTGTTCCTTCAAAATCTTCCATGGCCTCCCCACCCCACTCAACCAGGTGCCCTGTCAAAATAGTGGTACATGTCATAGGAGCCATTTTTTGGGGCTGAGGTCCCTTCGCCCCCCCCAATAAAATATTTGAGGGGGCTGCCTCCCAAGTTGATGGGCATGTGTCACATCTTGTGCAGGGTGGGATTTACCTTTACCTCCCTCAGGGTTGGCAGCCCTGATACATGTGCAATTTCAGTTTTATGTAGTTGAAGACCAGCCAGCTGAAATCACATGAATTGAAGGTGAAGAGCTTAAAAACTCTTTTTGTGCAGGATTTTCCCAGTGCAGAAAGAACTTTTAAGTTCTCTATCTTGCTTATTGGGCTCTGGAATGCTTTTTCATGGGCTCTGGATGCTCTTGCGAGATCGCAGATGGCCCCGCAAGACCTTGCAAGAGCATCACAGAGCTTGGTAAAAGCTCTTTGCCTTGCTTGGGTGGAGGTAAAGCCCACTGAGTGCATGGCTCCAGAAAGGTCATGCGGGGGAGTTCAAAGGAAGTGGCTCAGGTATGCATTTTTTTGCGGATATGCACCAACCTCAGGCTATAACCCCTGCACGAGATGTGATTGTACCGCACATAAATGCAATGCAGTGAGCGCAATCAGTACACCATCCCTCTGCTCTAACATTCCAATGTATCCCTGGCCATGACCTTTACTCCTCCCAGCCTTACATGGGGATGCTGCTGGACTGAACCAAGGACCTTCTGCACACGAAGCAAAGGCTCTACTGCTGAGCTAAATCCCTTCCCTTAAGACACAGAACCACAGGAAGCCGCCTTCTGCTGAGCCAGAAGAACATTGGCCCATCTACCTTACTTTTGCCTACACTGACAGGCAGAGACTGTTCCGGGTTTCAAGCAGGGGTCTCTACCAGCCCTAACCTGGATATGCCAGGGCTTGAACATGGGGCCTTCTGCATACAACAACAACAACAACAACAATTTATTATTTGTACCCTGCCCATCTGGCTGGGTTTCCCCAGCCACTCTGGGCGGCTTCCACAAACACCAAAAATACACTAAGACGTCACACATTAAAAACTTCCCTGAACAGGGCTGCCTTAAGATGTCTTCTGAATGTCAGATAGTTGTTTATCTCTTTGACATCTGGTGGGAGGGCGTTCCACAGGGCGGGTGCCACTACCGAGAAGGCCTCTGCCTGGTTCCCTGTAGCTTTGCTTCTTGCAATGAGGGAACCGCCAGAAGGCCCTCAGCGCTGGACCTCAGCGTCCGGGCAGAACGATGGGGGTGGAGATGCTTCTTCAGGTATACTGGGCCATTCAGGCATACAAAGCAAATGCTTTGCTACTGAGCTTTTGCCCTACGGTGTTTTGAGTAGCTGCTCAATGAATGAATCGATTTATTTCGGTCACTGACCAGAGTGCAAGCATATACAACAACAGAGAGCAGACAGATATAAATAGATCAAAAATCCTGCCCTATGAACTGATACACGATAAATAATTCAGATATAAAACAGCTAAAATATATAAGTTAAAACCTTAACCACTAATTTAAAACATATTAAGACATTGGCTGTTAGATTCATTCAAAGCCTGTCCCCTTTAATTTTATGGCAGCCACTTTTAAGGTAATCTCTGGTTCCCTTTTGTCTATTAAGTATTTTAAGTAGATAGCTGCTCAGCAAACTAGTAAAGGTGTGTTGTTGTGAAAGGAAACGGGAAGCTCTGCCTGGTGCAAAAGTCTCACATGGCTCCAGAGCTCTAGGATTCCACCTTCAGTGCCCTCAATCTTCTGGCAACATCAGTCAAGACAATCCACTTTGCATGCCCGCCCCCCTTTCCCACTTCGTCCCACCCATGTTTTGGTGTTCATGCAGAAAACCCAGCAACCTTGCATGCCGTACCAAGACTTCATTCCCCACATGGGTGTGTGCCAAGATAAGGGAGGGTGTGCTCACAAAAGCACAGTAAGTAGCAGAAGTCAGGTGCGAGAGAGTTAGGTTCCCATGGGATGCAAGGATTAAGGGACTTGGTCAAGGACATTGGAGTGTGCAATAAAGGATTAAGGTCAAAAGACATCTCTCTTTCATCTCATCTTGGTCACGTTGTTCCAGTAAGCCTGAGGATAGATCTAATCATTTTTCATATAGGGATTCCAGGAAGCAAATGTTACCTGCAATGTAACCACGGCTAAACGTCTGTGTCAGAGGGAAATATCTACCTACCCTTTATAATGCACCCCCAAACAAATCATCCACCAACAAGCCCCTTTGTTCTGCAGACCAAACAACATCACATCCACCTGATCCTGAGAACTCACCCAACCATGATGATCTGAGATTTCTGATCTGAAACAGTGAGATCTCAGGATTTGCACCATTCTGCAGAGTTCCAAGGTGGTGGGTGGTGATCCTGAACCCCCAAACAGAGCTTTGGAAGGTCGTTCAGTCACACTGTCACCTAGCCCTCGCAAGGGGGAACTACACATTACCTTGGGAAAGCATAAGTTGGGAGCTTGCCTTTGCTGTGGCAAAGCAAGTGTGGGGCAAAGAGAAAGTCCAACACCTTCCAAGGGCATCTGCTCCACTGTTGAATAGCTCTTATCTTCAGGAGGTTCTTCCTGATGGAATCTCCTTTATTGTAACTTGAAGCCATTGGGTTGGGTCCTACCCTCCGGAGCAGGAGAAAACAAGCTTGCTCCATCTTCCATGTGACAACCCTTCAGATATTTGAAGATAGCTATCATACCTCCTCTCAGTCTTCTCTTATCCTAGGCAAACCTACTCAACTCCCTCAACCGTTCCTCATACGGCTTGGTTTTCAGACCCTTGATCATCTTGGTCACTTTCCTCTGCACACCTTCCAGCTTGTCACTATCCTTGTTAAACGGTGGTGTCCAGTACTGGACACAGTATTCCAGGTGTGCTCTGACCAAGGCAGAATAGAGTGGTTCTATTACTTCTCCTGATCTGGACACTATACTTCTGTTGATGCAGCCTAGAATAGCATTAGATAATGATGATGATGATGATGATGATGATGATGATGATTGCTACTGCATCACACTGTGGACTCAGCCTTGGCCATAAGGGCTCCTGTGTAGATAGGAAACACATCTGAGAAAGCCATTGAGAATGGTCTGCAGAATCCATCATATCGCTAGATGTGTCACCACACCATTTTGAGCTCTGCCTGGGACAGGCCTCAGTGGGTGTAAATGAAAGATCTAAAGCTGGGGCAGATTTCTAGAATTACTGACTGACTGGTAGGGGGAAAAAACAGCTGAGGAGTTGTTATTAATTCAGTGCCTTTTCTGCGTATAAGAACAGCAGACCAGCCAAGTTCCATAGAACATTCATACCATCAAGTGGGTTCCCAGCAGCTGGAGTCTATTTATTTACTTCCTAGGTCACAAAGGGACTCTTGTGTAGGCTTACAAGTAATGCACAATAAAGATTTTCAATGCATAGAACAAACCAGATTATGAGGGGGGGGGGGAAGCTAGCCGAACCCAAATACAGATTTGGGACAATATAAACATAACACCAGAAGCCCTCGGTCAGTTTGAAATGTTTTTGTAAAACAGGAAAGTTTGCCCCCCTCTGCCTTCTCCGAGGTAGGTGCTTCAGATCTGATCTGCACAGATCTTGCCACTTTACCCCTCACAACATGGTGGCTGGCTCTGAGCTTGGTGGCGCAGCCTGATGATGTCATTCACCAGTTCACTACTGGGAGAGAAAGAGAGAGAGACACAGAGAGAAATGGGCTTGCATACACTCCAACATTTCTCTGATGAAAATAGGGACGTCCTATTCCACAATAAAATTATTGTTAGTAAGAATAATTATATCCCACCCATCTGACAGGGTTGCCCCAGTCACTCTGGGTGGCTTCTGACACATATAAAAACATATTAAAACATTAATCATTTAAAATCTGCCCTAGACAGGGTGCCTTCAGATGTCTTCTGAATGTTGTATGGTTACTTATCTCCTTGGCTTTCAAGTTGCATAACTCCATACCCTCTGACGTTTCTCCGATGAAAATAGGGACATCCCAAGGGAAAGCGGGACATTCCGGTATCAAATCAGAAACCAGGATGGCTTCTGTAAATCCGGACTGTCCCTGGAAAATAGGGACACTTGGAGGGTCTGGGTTTAAAAGGGCCACAGTGCAGATTGGAGCCAGCAACAGCACTGGGTGAGTCTTGAGTGACTGGCAGGATGAGGGAGAGGGTAGGAGGACTGGTGTCCAGCACTGGGGTCCTGCCCCATGACGTGCGAAGTAATGAAGAGGTGGCAGTAGTGCCTCTGAGCATGTATAGAGTGTGTGCATGTATTTCCACACCCCCACTTCCCCCCCAACCAAAAACAATGTGCATATCCTCCAACATTCCTCAGATGCAAATGTCCCTATTTTCATTTGAGGAATGTTGGAGGGTATGGAAGCATTATTCAATGGCATGTTTCAACAAGGCAAAGACAGTCAAGGAGGATTGCAGAGCAGCACTCTTGAGGGGTGTGGCCTGAGAAGAGGCCTGTGGGTCAAACTGAGAGGCCTGGAGGGCCAGATTTGGCCTACAGGCCAGAGGTTCCTGACCGCTGCTGTAAATCCAGGGGTGGCTATTCTGGTTGAGCAAATGAGCTGATGTTTTCTTGAGCTGTTCTCTCTCTGCATTCCTAATTTCCTTATAGAGGCATGGAGACTAATGCGGTCATGTAACAGAAGAGACTCAGGGATGTTTCCCTTTCCCCGGCCTTTGTTCATGGTATTTACATATTTGCAAATTTCTAAGAAAATATTTGCATATTTCAGGCCCCATCATAAAAAGATAAAACATTACCCTGGTGACATATGGCAAACTGAACAAGAAGGAGGGACCCTTTGTGCTGCATGCTTTGCAACATCTGGCAAACAGATGCTGGCAAACATGTCATTCTCCACCCTGAAGGTTGGAGCGGGACACACACTCCCTTCCATATGAGAGGAGCAGAAGCATTAAAAAGTTCCTCTTGATTCCCTCCCACCCCACCCCATGCTTAAACATATAGATGTCTCATTTATAAAGTGGACAGGGTGTGGGGGAAAGATCCCCGTGGTTTGCACCACTGGGTGAAATTAAACTTGCACAGATTCCACTGGATATCTGAGCAGACTCCGAAAAAAGCAAACAAAGACAGTTTTATGGGATGTTCTGGTACAGTGATCTTCACCTGGTCCAGGCACAAGACCCACCTCTGCCTCCCAAGCTGCACTTTTGATTTATAGTTCATAGTGCACACTATTAATCCTAAAAGGGGAATTAGCAGAGGGATCTGCACAGTGTTGCCATAGCATCACTACTATGAAATGAAAAGCCATCCTGCAATGTGGCAGAAGACACGAGTATGTAATTGGCCAGAGACATGTATATTATTTTTTTAAAAGGGCTTTTGCCTCCCCCCTGCCACATTGGAGCAGTGGCGTAGCGTGGGGGGTGCAGGGGGGCCCGGCCGCACCGGGCGCAACATCTGGGGGGCGCGCGCTCACACTCGCAGCTCTCTGTCCCTACCTGGCTCACTCACTCTCTCTCACTGCAGTGCTGGCTGTGCGAATCCGATCCGAGCCGCTGGGTCGCCGCCCACTGTGGAGGGGGTGGGTGCCAGGCGTGCGGTGCGGAGAGAGAGAGCGAGGGACTATCTGGGGGAGGGACAGTGCAGCGGCCACCCAGCGCAGTGCTGAGCGCGGGAGAGAACCACACCAGACCAGACCAGGCAGCAGCAAGAAGAAGCTGGCAGCGGCAGCAGGTTAGGGGTTAGGGGGCGCAAATTACTTGCCTTGCCCCGGGTTAGGGGGCGCAAATTACTTGCCTTGCACCGGGTTAGGGGGCACAAATTACTTGCCTTGCCCCGGGTGCTGACAACCCACGCTACGCCGCTGCATTGGAGCACTTGTGGAAACAGATAAAATGAGCATCTCATCGGAAGAACACGTCCCAGTTCAGACACACATGTAGTGCTCCTTTGGCCTTGCCAGCCTGAGCTAAAATGCAACATGGTGGCAACAGCTGTGCTGCGACCCACCTGTGAGTCCCAACCCACTGGTTGAAGACCTATGCGCCAATGCTTTGGAAACAACAGCAAGTACCAACAGTAGAAGAATGGCGACAGAAGGTAATGGAATATGCAGAAATAGTTAGATTAATGGGGAAAATTCGACAACAGGGCGATGAAACATTTCAAAAAGAATGGGAAAATTTTGTCATATATAGGAAGGATAAGACGAAATCGTGAAACCAGTAGAACTGAAATAAACCTCATACTGTGAAATACAAAGAAAATTTCTGGATAAATAAAATGACAAAAAGTAAAATGTACAATGTGATCAATGTAACCAATGGTAGTTGTAAACAAATATAGACAGACAATAAGAATTGTATATACAGGAGGATTTATTTGACTGTAGACACTGTATGGACAAATACGAAAGAAGAACAATAATACAGAAAACGGATGAAGACAATGCGAAAAAGTGAGATGTGATATAAAAGGCCAGAAGAGGGAAGTCGGCTCTGGGGAGCAGTTGTAAATGTGAAATGTAATACAATATGTGTATGTGGAGTGTGCAAATAAAGAATATTATGAAAGAAGAAGAAGAAGACCTATGCACCAATGCACTCATGCCCTGTTTGCGGGCTTTCAGTAGGCATGTGTTCATCCACTGCGAGAACAAAATGCTGGACAAGATCCAGCAGTGCTCTTCTTATGCGAATGAGCATCCATACTGGGCCAAGCGCACACTCAAGATTTGCCATCTTTTCTTTTCGCAGTGGTGGCTGGTGCCCCTTGAGACTGGTAGGGTGGAAGGGAGGGAGACCAGCAGCAAGTGGCGCCAGAGCCAATGACAGGCACATTCAACTAAGGGCACATTCACATCCTTCATTTAAAGCACCATGACACCACTTTAAGCAGCCATGCCTCTCCCACAGAATTCTGGGAGCTGTAGCATGTGAAGGGTGCGGAGAGTTTTTAGGAGACCTCCCCCCCCCATTCCAGAGCTATACAGTGGTACCTCTGGTTAAGAACTTAATTCGTTCTGGAGTTCTGTTCTTAACCTGAAACTGTTCTTAACGTGAGGTACCACTTTAATTAATGGGTCCTCCTGCTGCTGCCGTGCCGCAGCCACACAATTTCTGTTCTCATCCTGAAGCAAAGCTCTTAACCCGAGGTACTATTTCTGGGTTAGCGGAGTCTGTAACCTGAAGCGTCTGTAACCTGAAGTGTCTGTAACCCGAAGTACCACTGTAATTCCCAGAGTTTCCTGGGAAAATGACATGATTGTGATACAGCTCTGGGAGCTGTAGCTCTGAGAGGGGAACAGGGGCCTTCTAGCAACACCCAGCACTCTTAACAAACTACAGCCCACATGATTCTTTGGAGGAAGCTTTGACTATGGCTGTTGACCATGGTAGTAAAGGTAAAGGGACCCCTGACCGTTAGGTCCAGTTGCGGACGACTCTGGGGTTGCGGCGCTCATCTCGCTTTATTGGCAGAGGGAGCCGGCGTACAGCTTCCAGGTCATGTGGCCAGCATGACTAAGCCGCTTCTGGCAAACCAGAGCAGTGCACAGAAACGCCGTTTTTCTTCTCGCCGGAGCGGTACCTATTTATCTACTTGCACTTTGATGTGCTTTTGAACTGCTAGGTTGGTAGGAGCAGGGACCGAGCAATGGGAGCTCACCCCGTTGCAGGGATTCGAACTGGTGACCTTCTGATCGGCAAGCCCTAGGCTCTGTGGTTTAACCCACAGTGCCACCCGCGTCCCTTTGACAGTGGTAGGAGACTGTTTTAAATGTATGGTGTGAATGTGGCCTAATTCTAGTGTTGCCGCCTTCCTCCTCCCTGCTGAGTTTTGCAAAGGCAACAGCGCAACGGAGGAAGAGGAGGCAGCTAGCCAATTGCGTATCTTGGACTGCTTGTAAGTCAGAAGACAGGCAGGTGGGGGCTGGCTGAAGGCAGAGTGGTGGGGCAGTGCCTCATTTGCCCTAAAGGGACAACTTCCTTACTCTCTCTTTTTGCTCCTGCAAGCTCCTTGAAGCCTGCAGAAAACTCAATGTCTGCATATCAAGCTACTACTAAATGCACAGGAGCGGAGGAGCAGGGGGAAAAAGGTGGATTCCCAACCCAGGGCGCCTTAACCCCTGCCGCTTGTCACAGCCCTTCAGATTTTGCTGACTGAAACCAATCCAGTTGCAAATGCTTTCAAAAGGGTGTCCACTCTTGGTGGGTCCCTCTTGGTGAAGGCCCCTACTTTTCAACCCCAGTGACCTCATCCTATGCACATCTAGGTACTTTGCAGGCAGAACATCCCAGGTTTAACCCCCGACATCTCCAGGTAGGGCTGAGAGAGAATCTTGCCTAAAATCCTGAAGAGCCACTGCTAGTCAGGTGTATCCTGTACCGAGCTAGGTAGACCAATTGTCTGTTTCACCAATGCTTCTTTGCCTCTGAGGATGTCTGGATGTCTGTGCATTGCTTAAGCTGTCTTCTTCTTCTTCTTCTTCTTCTTCTTCTTCTTCTTCTTCTTCTTCTTCTGCTGCTGCTGCTGTTTGCTGATGGACCTAAAGGACCCCTTCCCCATGCTCTGAGCCCAAGAGGTACCAGGACTTTTACATCCTTCAGTAAGGAGTCAAATTGCTACTGCTATGGGATTCCTAGCTCAGGGGTTATCCCCTCTCCTGGTGTTTATATGTGTACCTATGAGGACACCTAGTGGCTGATGTGGGAAAACTCAGCACATGCCCTGGCTCCTGTTGCAGCAATGTTGAGTGGTAATTGTAATTATGTCTGGCTAAATTATGACACAAGACTGTGTTTCAGTTGATTTCAGCAAGATTCAGGACATCCCCCTAAGCTTCTACTAATTGAGGGTGTGGGTATCTTATTTTTTTTTGCCCCTGGACGCAGGGCCCAGGGTGTGTTGCCTGTTGAACTCTGATTGCAGAGTTCAGACTCCACACAGGTGCTCTTAGGGCAACTGGGTGATTAACTGGGTCTATACAATTCGCTGGCGGGGTCCTAAATGCAAGCCTGCAGCAGGGTTTCTCCCAGAACCTAGGCCAAGTGAAGACAAGGAAGAGGGAGTCTCGCTTGTCATTAAGGGAATTTACTGGGTCTGACTTGAAACACATCCCTAAATAGAAAGGGAGAAAGCTGCCATATACTCAGCAGATCCACCTGCCCAGCTACCTCAGTATTGTCTACACTGACTGACAGCAGCTTCTCCAGCACTGCCTGCAGGATTCTCTCTCAGCCCTACCTGTAGATGACAGGGATTGAACCTGTGACCTTCTGCATGTGAGGCAGATGCTCTGCCATTGAACTACAGCCCTTCCAATAGCTGGTGATGCTGCTCATTTCTTCTTCAGGATGTATCATAGGCCTTCCATTCTTTGAACCACAAAGACTTCACGTATCTAGAAAAGCTTAGATCATCTTCTGTCTGCAGCTGTGCTGCCTAATGGACGAAGTGGGAGTAACTATTGTAATCTTGCAGGGGGTCTTCAGGGGTTGTTCATTCCTGTCCCAAGGAGTTAAATCACATATTGTGGATTATTTACTTAGTTATTCAGGAGTCACATTTTCAAATACAGCCGTACCTTGGAAATCGGACAACTTAGTTCCTGAAAGTTTTGGCTCCCGGACATCGCAAACCCGGAAGTGACTGTTCCGGTTTGCAAACTATTTTTGGAAGCCAAATGTCCGACAGGGCTTCCGGGGTTTCTGATTGGCTGTAGGAGCTTCCTGTAGCCAATCAGAAGCCACACTTTGGTTTGTGAAGGTTTTGGAACAGATTGTGTCCAACTTCCAAGGTACGACTGCAATAGACTAGCTGCCCCCCACTCATCAAGGCTAGCAACCTGCTGGTGATATGAGATTCTCCGTCACATCACGTTCCCACAGATGTCGATGTGGGACAGAAGCAGTCTTGAGGATGTCATTCCCAGCCAAGAGGGAGAAAGAGGTCTGGGGAAGAAGGTATAAAGTCCCCAAAGTTGGAGACAAGAAAGAGTGACCAGGGGGAATGGGAGCACATCTTGATTAATGACAAACATGTACCCAAAGCCCACAACAACATTTTTTTCCTATTTATTTACTCTTTTTCCTTGACAGTGAGAGAGTTGTGGGGGGCATGGTTGGTTGTCTTTATTTGACTGCTGCGAGAGTTGTTGGGGGGCGGGAGAGAGATTGTCCCCAAGATCATTTTTAAGGCAACCATGACAACCTAAGAGTGGGCTAGTTACTGTATTTTTCGCTCTATAAGACGCACCAGACCACAAGAAGCACCTAGTTTTTGGAGGAGGAATACAAGGAAAAAAATATTCTGAATCTCAGAAGCCAGGACAGTAAGAGGGATCGCTGCGCAGTGAAAGCAGCAATCCCTCTTGCTGTTCTGGCGTCTGGGATAGCTGCGCAGCATGCATTTGCTCCATAAGATGCACACACATTTCCCCTTACCGTTTAGGAGGGGAAAAGTGAGTCTTATAGAGCAAAAAATACGGTAAGAAGTAGTGCTCTGCCTCTGTGTGAAATTTCTCAGTCAAAACTTCATCCTGGCCATTAACTGTGGGTCAAGATAGATTAATGCGTCAATGTGGAATTCTCTCCATTCATTTATTTATTGCATTTTTTATCCCACCTTTTCCTTTACGGGGCTCAAGGTGGCACACATGGTTCTCCCCCTTCTCACTGAATCAGTCACAACACCCCTGTGAGGTAGTTTAGGCTGAGAGGCAGTGACTGGCCCAAAGTCGCACCCATAAACTTCATGGCTGAGTGGGGATTTCAACCTTGTTCTCTCAGGTCCTAGTCTCACATTAACCATTACGCATTTCTGCATCTGTTCATTGTTTTTTTTAAAAGTGATGTAAACTTCCCAGCAATTTAGTGCGCCTTTCTCCTAATAGACATTTTTTGTAAGCCGTTCCCCCTGCGTTGCTCTGTTTCAGAAGCACATTTAGGCTAACATTTAAAATTTAATTGGAATTTTATCCAGAGGGTTTGCTGCCGCGCTCTTCTTAACGCAGCTTATCTATGTCTGTAAAATATTTTTGTCGAATTTCTGTAAGCTGCTCAGGCTAATTTGCCCGAGGTGTGAACATACACATCTATTCAATAAATGAATACAAAGCAAATGTTGCTCTTTCTGTCCTTTGATTTTAAATGGTTTGGGAAATGTTGAGGAAAAAGCTTCAATAATTATTATGATTTTTATCATTGATTGATTGATGGATTGATTACCCTCCCTTCACCCCAAGGTCACAGAACAGGTTACAACAATTAAAACCAAATATTAAAAAACAATTTAAAGCAACTTGCAGTCACAGAAATAAGGTGGGCTCCCAATCTGTTTTCTCCCCCCGTGGCAAGGGGATGTGACTTCTGCTCTGGTATAACTTTATTTGCTTACCCTAATTTATTTATTTATTTTTTAAAAAAATCCCAGCTCTTTATCTGAAAACAATTCCAGTGCAAGTTACACTGTATTGGGTTTTCTGGATGACAGGGCCATTGCACAAGCCAGCCATCACCAGCTGAGGCACACACGGGTGCTGGCATTGGTGTTGATTCCAGGTGAGATATCACATGATTTCGGTGAGATCTTGCTGGAACTCACCCATAATTGGCACTGGTGCTGGTGCTGCTTCTCCACCAGTGATGGAGGTAGCAGGGCAGGCATTGCATCCATGGGGATGCTGTCTTGGGAGCTTCCGCCGCCTGAAGCGGAAGTCTCACCCCCACCTAATGGCTGCACCGGCCTTGGACAGTAGTGGCAGCAACATTCACACCTTGGCATCATTTGGGCAGAGCTTGACACTTCCAGGGAGGAACGATTGCCAGTGCCTTGCAGGAAGGTGGAGCAGGAGGAACGGCTGAATTAGGCACCAACACCCAAGTCTCATTAAAATTCTCACCTGCGTGACCTGGATCTCCTATGCGTTCCACCCACCTCCTTTCAAAAGCTGCATCTTCATAATTGCTAATGCTACTATTATTATAATTGTCACTTACTTAATTTATAGACCACTTATATTTCCTCTCCTGCAAAGAAAGGTTGAGGGACGTGGGTGGCGCTGTGGGTAAAACCTCAGTGCCTAGGACTTGCCGATCGTATGGTCGGTGATTCAAATCCCCACGGCGGGGTGAGCTCCCGTCTTTCGGTACCAGCTCCTGCCCACCTAGCAGTTTGAAAGCACCCCTAAGTGCAAATAGATAAATAGGTACCACTTTATAGCGGGAAGGTAAACGGCGTTTCCGTGTGCTGCGCTGGTGCTGGCTCACCAGAGCAGCTTTGTCACGCTGGCCACGTGACCCGGAAGTGTCTTCGGACAGCGCTGGCTCCCGGCCTCTTAAGTGAGATGAGCGCACAACCCTAGAGTCGGACACGACTGGCCCATATGGGCAGGGGTACCTTTACCTTTACCTTTAAAGAAAGGTTGCCACATCTAGGGCTTTTTTTGCTTGCGAGAAAGTGGATAGAGAAAAGTTTTCTTCCCTCTCTCATAAGGCTAGAAGTGGGGGACGTCCGATAAAGTTGGAGGTTGGAAGATGTCGGACAAGTGCATTAAAGGACTTATTCAAGCAGCACACAGTCATGCCATGGAACGAACTCTTGCAGAAGGGAGTGATAGTTCCCAGCTTGGATGGCTATGCCTGGTGAGAGGCAAGAAATGTTTCTGAGTACCAGTTACAGTCATACCTTGGTTCTGGAATGCCTTGTGACTTGAACGTTTTGGCTCCCGAATGCCACAAACCTGGAATAGAGAGCCAGTATGGTGTAGTGGCTAAGAGCAGTGGACTCGTAATCTGGGGAACCGGGTTCGCGTCTCCGCTCCTCCACATGCAGCTGCTGGGTGACCTTGGGCTAGTCACACTTCTCTGAAGTCTTTCAGCCTCACATACCTCACAGAGTGTTTGTTGTGGGGGAGGAAGGGCAAGGAGATTGTTAGCCTCCTTGAGACTCCTTCGGGTAGTGATAAAGCGGGATATCAAATCCAAACTCCTCCTCTTCTTCTTCTTCTTCTTCTTCTTCTTCTTCTTCTTCTTCTTCTTCTTCTTCCTCTTCCTCTTCTTCTTCTTCTTCTTCTTCTTCCTCTTCTTCTTCTTCTTCTTCTTCTTCTGGTTTGCAAACGTTTTTTGGAAGCCGAATGGCTGACACAGCTTCTGCAGCTTCTGCAGCTTCCGACTGAGTGCAGGAAGCTCCGGAAGCTAATCGGAAGCCATGCCTTAGTTTTTGAATGGACTTCCAGAACAGATTCGAGAACCAAGGTGCCAGTGTACTGGAAACCACAGGGAGCGGGCTCTTGTGCTCAGGTCTTGCTTGTGGGTTTCCCACATGCAACTGGTTGGCTGCTGTGAGAACAGGATGATGGACTAGATGGGCCATTGGCCTGATCCAGCAGGCTCTTCTTATATTCTTATGTAAAATGGCTTCTGTTTTGTTTAATGAAGATATTCCTGTTCAAACCAAGAACAATGGAGAAGTTTGGAACTTTCACCACTATTGGTTATGACAAATTTTATTTTTAGTCTGTGCATGTTTGTTTGAGGGCAAAAATATTAACCGCCTTGAAAACATTCTCCACATGTTAAACCACAGAGCCAAGACTTGCTGATCAGAAGGTTGGCGGTTCGAATCCCCGCAACGGGGTGAGCTCCCGTTGCTCGGTCCTTGCTCCTGCCAACCTAGCAGTTCGAAAATGCAAGTAGATAAATAGGAACCGCTCCGGCGGGAAGGTAAACGGTGTTTCCGTGCACTGCTCTGGTTCGCCAGAAGCGGCGTAGTCATGCTGGCCACATGACCCGGAAGCTGTACGCCGGCTCCCTCGGCCAATAAAGCAAGATGAGCGCCGCAACCCCAGAGTCGGTCACGACTGGACCTAATGGTCAGGGGTCCCTTTACCTTTACCTTTTAAGCTAGTTGGAAAAATAAAGTAGTGTAACGAGAACGGCTGGAAGTCAAGTCACTTGGTGGGTGTCTGTGTGGGGTAGGTGTGTAGGTATGTTGATATGTATAGTATAGGTAGGTAATGTAGGTATGTTTTATGTTATGAAAATAAGGTAATGTAGGTATGTTTTATGTTATGAAAATAAGGTAATGTGCTGTGTACGTGTATTGTGTAAATGTATATGTATGTGTTTTATATGTAAAAAGAAAAAGAAAACATTCTCCTTCTTCAATGCTTTATCAACCTTCCATGGGAAATGTTGATGGATATGTTTCCATTGTCCTCACTTGCCCTCACCCTTAATCGCCTTCATACGGCCTTTATTGACATCATCACCATGTAACCGCTGAGTCCTGTTGGGCCAGATTTGAAACAGAGTC